CACACACACACACACACACACACACACACTGGAATATTATTCAGCCTTAAAAAAGGAAATCCTGCCATCTGCAACAACATGGATGAACTTGAAGGACATTATGCTAAATGAAATAAGCCAGTTATCAAAGTACAACTACTGCATAATTCCACATAAACAAGGTACCTAGAGCAGTCAAACTCATAGAAGCCAAGAGTAGAGTGGGTGCCAGGCGCTGGGGGGAGGGAGAAATGGGGACTTGCTGTTCAATAGATATACTTTCAGTCATACAAGATGAGTAAGTTTCAGAGATCTGCTGTGCCTATAGTTAATAATACTGTATTATGCATTCAAAAATGTGTTAAGGACAGATCTCATATTATATGTTCTTATAACAACAAGAACAATAATAATAATAATAATAAAAATACTTGAGAGAATTTTCTACTGTCAGTAACAAAAAATATAGTACGTATTTGAAAAACTAAAACAGACATCCACTAAGTCAAAATATCTTGGGTCTGCAAAGTAATTAACTGTATATACTTGAACATGACCTATTCTTCGGGTCACATTGAGGGATGGATAGATGGAGGACAGAGTCCTGACCTGGCCTTTTGTAGCTCCAGTCCCCACCCACTGCTTTCTCATCTTTCTGGTAGACCTGGCTCCCCAGTGACCCCAGCAGGCAATGTCAGCTTCTGTCTTTGCACAGTCCTCTTATTACCAAAAGTTCTTAACACTTCCTAATGTTGCTACTGAGGGCCTCCAGTTTCCGTTAACTGTGTCTCCCTATCTGGGTACTTTTACCCATCTGAGATCTGCTCCTGTCCGTCAATACAATTCACTTTCCTCACATTGACTATTACATGCACTTCCTCTGGTTGCACTGGGTATTGTGCACAAGAAACGTTCTCCGTAGGTCACTTAGGACTGCGTGTGGTATCCTGACAGTCTCGTTCCAAAATAAAATGTATGTGCACGTGAGTCTACAAACACACATTCCAGCAATGGTATTTTCCCCAAAGCCTATAGCCTCTGATCCCTAATTTCTTCCCGCTTGAGGGAGTCAGTACATGTGGGAAGGTGAAGAATAGACATTTCTCTGCTGCTAAAAGTCGTCACAAATGTACTTGTCTCTTTCTCTTTTTACAGGAAGGGCTAACTACCATAGAATCACTCATCGTCATGTTAACAGTTCCTTGAAGGCAACAGTTTAAAGTAATGAGCAATAAAAATATAAATGAATATTTATTTTTATCTCTAAGTGAGTTTCCCTCTTGAGTTTTCTGAATGGTGAATTCCCAGCACCAAATGCCACTGAATGCATTTCCCACTCTTGAGCAATAAAAAATGGCAGATGAAAAAAGCATGGGCATACACTGTAAATGACTAACGCCCATGATAAGACTGGACTGCAGGGGGGCTGGCTGAGTGGCGCATTGGCTAAGAGTTGGCTTGGGAGCACCAGCTCTGATCAGCAGGGCCGCCGGTTCAGATCCCACATGAGGGCCAGTGATGCTG